GATTAGCTGGGGGAAGCTGCCCCTTTGGAGTAGCCAGGGAGATAAGGCACACATTTTCAATTGTCATTAGGTTTTAACTATTGATAATTGTGATGCCTTCGTGTGGCAATTTTCTCTGAGATAAAATCTTTCACCTTTTAGGGAAGTTCCTTAACATCTAGAATATCTTGAGAGAGGAAAAACATCCAATCCTACAGGAAAGCTCTCTAAGACTCAGGATGTTCTGAGGGATACTGAAACATCCTATCCTGTAAGACAGCTTCTTCAGTCTAGGAAATTAACAATTCAAAAAATTTCAGGAACTCTCTGAGACCAGCTGTATTCACTTGACTTTATAAAAAATCTTATAAGCAGTAAGAATTTTTATGATATACTCTCTTGCAAGATGCATAACCTGAAGGAGGAATAGACAATCCAGGCTGTCTGGAAGAGTTTCAGGAAACTGAGCAGCTTTGTAGAGACATTTTCTAACCTGTCATGCTGCCTTCAAGTTGTGCACTGAGCTCTAGTTTTCAAGAGTCCATGAGACAGTGAATTAATATATACATAAGAGTGTAAATTAGACGCAGTGGATTTAACATATCCTCAGGTCAAATTCTCAAATTCCTGTAGTCATACATTACTTCCATTTGACTTCTCAGTACTATGAGCTCTAATCAGAAACAGAAAGCAATAAACACAGAGTTATGTTGCAGGTATTAATTCTTAGCACATCACTAGGGTGATAATCTAAAGGGTAGTGTCTATTCTGTCAAAATATTATCTGTTGTTTGGTACTGTAATAGATTTTATGACCTGCTTTAATATTACCATTTGCTTTTACTATTTCTCTTATATCTTCTTCCTTCAGACAATGATAAAACTATTCTTTCTTATGTGGCTGATTTTGGTGCCTTAAATTCATTTGACTAGATAGATACCTGAACTCAGAGCATATTCTGTCCATCTTTCTCTCTGTATAGTTCTTTAAGAAGCGTAAGGACCTGACTGTTCCAATATGCAAGCATTATAAATATGGTCAGAATGTAGATCACATGACGTGAGCCTCCTGAGAAGCAGCTCCTCAAGCCTTTGTGTTGAAGACTTTGAAACTCGACTCTGTGTGACCCTAGCTTTAGTCACCTTCGACCTTCCAGCACTGTTGCTAAGCTCACACGTTCCCCTTGTGCTCTCATTGACTTTTGGAACTCCGTCCTGTGCCGACCTGACACAGCTGAAGGACTTCACCATGGCATGGGTCCAGACAATATATTCTTTTCTAAGTATCATCATGGGAGGAGATTCCCCAACGGAACCCTGCAGGAGCATTTTCTGACCGGTAACACATCCCTGCTTGGTAAGGTGTCTGTTAAACTTTTATTAACAAGATATTATAAGAAATGTTTGTTGTGGATAAACCGAGCATGCTCAAAAGACAAATCTTGTGTGGACATCCTAATAGCCGAGCTCCTCTCAGCCCACTGGCCTTGCTTTCTACATCCTCACTCTTACTATGTTGCTTAATTCAAAATGGTACAAATGATGAGCAAAGCACAATTTAGAGACCAACATTCAAATTTAACCCTAAACTTTAATCCTTGAAAACAAAAATGCTAACAGGAGAAACTTTTTTTTGGCAAAGAGTGTATTTCTGAATTAGAACTTTCTTTGTCTCATTCAACATTTTCATAGGAAACAGCACGATCAAGATCATGACGGGAAAATGACAGAACAGCAGATCTGAGCTAGTGGGAGCTCATGACACTGGACCAACAGGTACGGATCCTGCTTGTTACAAACCTAGGCCCTCTGTGGGTGACAGTTGTAAAGCTTGGTCTGTTTGTGGGGTCCCTAGTAGTGGAAACAGAACCTATCCCTGATGCATGAGCTGGCTCCTTGGAATCTATTTCCTATGTTGGGATACCTTGCCCAGCTTTGATGGAGGAGAGGATCCTATTTCAACTTGATCTGCCTTGCTATGCGACTTCCATGGGGGACCTGCCCCTTTTAATAGAGGAGGCACAGATGGAGGGTCTTAAGGAGGTGAACGGAGGGAAAAAAACTGAGGTATGTGTGGAAAATAAATGAAAAATAATAATAAAAGCTAACAAAACATCCAAATAAAGTTAAAAATAAAACAAAAGAAAAAGACTACATTAACATCTTTTCCCATAGTTTACAACACAATATCATTCTTTTCTTCAAGTCTTCTTAACCTTGTCTTTCCTGTTCTGAGGCAGTCATCAGTAGGATATTATGATAACAAGTATGAATTTTATCAGTTATTGTTTTTTGAATTCATTGTTGAACTAATTTCCTCATACACATGTAATTATACACTACCCAGCTGTATCACAACTCGTATGAAAATAAAAAGAGCTTTGAGGATGAGATCCATACTTGATTAATTTTTTCACACTATTTTTTCATAAAAGAATAAGGGTTATTTCCTTATTTAAATTTTTCCATCAATTTTTTATTGATTCTTTGAATTTCATATCATATACCATAGCCACACTCATTTCTCAGGTCTTTCAGATCTGCCCTCCACCCTTGTAACTTTCCTCCCAAAAAGACAATAGAAAATTAAAATTTCAAAAAAGGATCATGGTAGAATGTGCAGTGTCTCACAGTGTGTCACACGGTGTACTCTTTAAACAGCTTTACTTGTGAAAGTTCACTACAATGAGTCATTGGACTGGTTCAAGGCCTCTGGGCTCTGCTACACTACCGATGATGGATCCTCCCTGAGACTCCTCTGGGCTATCCTGTTGCTGCCCTGTGTCATGGAGATCCTGTAACTTTGGTTCTGCATGACCTGCCCCGTGAACTCCAACAGCTCTGAGATGTGGTATGTGTTAGTTGGGCCAGCTCAAAATATTGGAACCGGGCCTGAGTGGTAGCTGAGTTGGTCACCAGGGCTAGCTCTCCATGATGCCCAAGTGAAGGGTGAGGCTGGCTTTTCTGTATCCACACAATCAGGGGTAGCTGTTCCTCACCCAGGTCACCAGGGTCAACTATCTGACACTGACAAGATGAGGGGTAAGGATCAGCTCTCCCACAATAATGAGGCCACATTCATCTACACCTCCGTTTAGGGCCAGCTCTTCCTAGCTGCTCAGGCAAGTTGCAGGGCTAGCTCACCCTAGTCCTGTGGCCAGCAATTGGTGGGTTTAGTTCTCCCATGAACACACCATCTGGACCAGCTCTCATGCACTGGCCAGCCAAGGGACAGGACCATCTTTTCTGCACTATTTTCACTGCTGGTGCTACTGTGTGGTGACTGGTGAGGGGCTGGATCAGCTAAGCACCGTACTCAGACAACATCCTGACCTCAAATGGAAGCCCAGACCAAGGAGGTCCACATTGCATGGACGTTGACACAGACCCCTGCTACAGAAGAGTCATGTCCCTCTACAGCAGCACAGGTTTAGACAACACCATGGCCTCTGATAGCAGTACAGGCCTCTCTCATCATGCCATTCCTTGTTGTCTTAACATCTACAGTCCTACCTGTCTTCACAGAGAACAAACTGCTCCCACTTCTCTTTCTGTCTCACCTCTCCACACATATTTGTTTATCATAATACTGCATGCCCTGTATCATGCCGAGGCCTCTCCTTGATTTTTAAATTTTCATTTTTGTTTGTTTTTGTTTGATAAAGAACAGGGTTTATTTCATCTCATAGCTTCCTGTCCATTGCTGAGGAAATGTAGGCGAGGTGTTCAAAGCAGGCCTCAGTAGACAAGACTGAAGAAAATACTATAGAGGAAATATGCTTACACGGGTGTTCTTTATCATTTCCTCAGCTTTTTTATTATGTCTTTTATTTTGTGAGATTATAATATAATTTCATTATTTTTTCCTTCCCTCTAATGAGGATATGCCTTGATAGAGTAATCAGTGAATGTTCAGTAGGCCGTTCATAAACTAGAATGATGCTGAAATGTAGTTCATGTGCCTTCTCTACTCATTCTTCATTTTCTTTCCCATTGTTACAAACTTTTGATAAATGAATAAGAAGGATTTTATGGAAAGGAAAGCCATGGCTGCCACACAGGCCAGCAGGAACCCAATCACATCCAGAGAGTGGTACTGGTACCAGGTGAGGTTGTGTGCCAGTGGCCTCAGGTGCTTGGCCCCTTTGTGGCGCATGACAAACTCAATCCAGAAGATGGCTCTGTCCAGGGGTTTCATGGGCTGGTCATGATGAATGGTTGACAACCACATAGCATTCATTTTATAGCTGATAGAAGGAAAACAGACACATTAACTTACATATGAAATGAAAAATGCACATAGGTAAACTTTTGTGTAAACATTAAAGTTGATCACACCATATATTAGGAAAATATATTTTGTTTCATGTTCAGAGGCACGTCTGAGTTCCTTGAGCATGCAATATTAAGCATTGAAAAAGAAAAATAATAAAGATCAAATATTCCTAAAGTAGTGTTTAGAGACAGAAATACAAAATAAATCAAAATGAGATATTATTTGAGTATATAAAGCCTCAGTAATCCAAAAACAATTATTAGCAATTTTTTGTATGCAAAATATGTACTAGTTTCAGGATGTATAAATAGAAGTCACATCACTCTTGAATCCTCATGGTGGTACATGTCTGTGTAAATTTGATAAAGATTAAAATGAGAATTTTATGGTACATCTATCAATGATTAGTGGTTTTAATTATAATTGTGTCCTGGTTCTTATTAATTAGCTCTAATAGCTGCTTCTCAGTGCTTTTACGTTTTTCTAATTAAGGTCATCAAATATTTGATTAAATTAATAGGAAGGATAATTTTCAACTCTGTTACTCTATTGAATTTTTATTACTTTTATTATTCTTATTGTTAAGTATAATCACAATAAATTTCTGCTATTACTTATAAATATATGTGTGAGAGATTATGTGTTTAAAGAGTGTAAACTGTGTGTGTGTGTGTGTGTGTTTGTGTGTGGGTGCGTATGTCTGTTATGAGATCTGCTTGAGTTAGAGTTACAGATGTTTGAAACCAACTGTTGTAAATGTTGGGAACAGAGCTCTGGTCCGCTGCTGGGGTAGACATTTCCTTATCCACAGAGCCATCTTTCAAGCCCAAGTTTTAGTCTTATTGTTGATATTCGTTTTCTATTAGCATTGTAATTTTAGAACTATGAGTTGTAAAAATTTCACACTGAAGATCAAATACAAGGTGTACTTGATTCTCATGCTGAAATAATTATTGATGAGCATATAAAGGAGAAAGCTTATAAAGACAAGTCATCAACTCTGATGTCAGTTTAATGCAGCAAAAGTGGCAATTGTAATAATGGTAAATTACTGTATTTTTATTTACAAAGCAAAATGAGAGAATTATGAATTTATTCTCATTAAATAATCATCATTTCTTAGTATGCATGTTACACTTGTTTAAAATTTAATTTGTAACTTATCTGACTAGGAAATGAGAAGAGGGGAAACTCCTTAGTTTAGGTGAGGAACTTTAATACAAAAGAAAGGCAGATAGTAATAAAGTACCAATAAAGACATCAGAAAAGGCCAAGAAAAATTTTACTATTCATAATTTATTAAATTCTCCCAAAACACATACAATTTTATGTATAAATATACATATATAATTGTAATGATCTTTTTTCTCTTCTGTACTGATGGTGCTCAATCAAAGAGTCAAAGAACACCTTACACAAAACTTACTACCAAATAAGAGAAATCATCCTTTTAAGAGATAGGCCAAGACTGTCAAAGAGACTCCCTAAACATAGAGCCTATTGACGGTGCTTATTCTCCAAAGGTGGAAGGTGAGTTTCTATTGCTGAATGAGCATTCAATTCAGAAGCAGATTCCAGAGACCTCTCAGCTGGAACTGACTTGACATCCCCCACCTGAAGACTAGCTTTTGTGATATAAAACAGTAGAGAGGATTGAAAGATTTTAAAAGTCAGAGGGAAGTGCTGGGAAGTTGTGTCTTTGATAAACTACACTCATGTACGTCTCAACATCATGTGTACCTAAACAAGATCATAATAATGATGACACCTGTAGTCTTTTTAACAACATAGGTCCCTAACAAAATTAGAATAAGTATGAAACCTATACTCATTCTCAAAAACATAGGTCCCTAACAAAATCTGAATAAGTAGAACATCTGTAGTTGTTCTCAAAAACATGGGACCCTAACAAAATCTGAATAAGTAGGAGATCAATATTTGTTCTCAGCCAAATAAGTCTCTAAACAAATACTTGGTGTGGATCTTTTTGTGTGAACATTAAAAATGATTACATAGTATTAGCACAATATTCTGTGAATAAGATTGGTTAATAAAAAAGTGACTTGGGCCCAAGACAGGGCTGAACAGAGATAGGCAGGTAAAACTAAGCTGAATTCTGGGAGAAAGAAGGTGGAGTCAGAGAGAAGTCATGAAGCCCCAGGGGGAGATAAATAGCAGGTCTTTACTGGTAGGCCAAAAGCACATGGCGAAACACAGATTAATAGAAATGGGTTAATTTAAAATATAAGAGCCAGCAAAAAATGTACATAAGCTAATAGGAATAGCAGTTTTGTAATTAATATCATTTCTGGTTGGTTATTTCGAGTCTAAGTGACTGGGAACAAACAAGCAGCTTCTTCCACAAGATCTGAATAAGGATCACACGAGTAGCCATGCTAACAGAAAAGAGGTGGATTTCACTCTGGTCCTAATTCCACATGAAATTTTTTAAGGCATTGAAGTAATGCTAAAAGTCAGAAAGAAATATTCTTTTTCTAAAAACACCCTTTTTGGAAAGAGTTTCCAAATGGATTTATTTAATCAAAGAAAAATAATTATCAACATGTTCATTTGTTTCATAGTAAGAAGTCTTTATTATTTAAATTTATCCTAAAACAGGTTGCATATTTAAATATCTAACCATACACTTACTTTTATGTTAATATTTATGCTATTTTGATGTATTACAACTTTCATAAAAGGTACCTATCTCTTTTATAACATCTAATTTCTCTGTTGCAATATTTTCCTGTGGCTTCTAGATGTACAATATCTGGTACCACCTCTTACATTTTATTGTTGCCAGGAGGGCTGCTTGTTGATACCTGGTCACCTAGCCAAGTTAGACCTGAAATAATCACACAGAAACTGCATTAATTAAATCACTACTTGTCCCATTAGCTCTAGCTTCTTATTGGCTAACTCTTCCATATTAATTTAATCTATTTCTATTAATCTTTATATCACCATGCGGCAGTGGCTTACCAGCAAAGTTCCAGCATGTCTATATCTGGAAAAGGGGAAATAGTGTGGAAGTTCCTTCTGTCTATGTGTTGCTTTTCTTGGTTAATGTATAAGCCTTTTGAGCCTATGGCAGGGAAAAAAATGATTAGGCGGGGAAAGCTAGCCTGTATGATGGGAAAAGGAAGGTGGTGTCAGAGAGATGTCATGAAGCCACAGGAAATAGATGTGCTGAAACTTTGTTGGTAGGCAATGACCTCGTGGTAATATATAGGTCAAGAGAAATGGGTTAAATTAATAAGAGTTAGCCAATAAGAAACTAGAGTTAATGGGCCAAGAAGTGATTTAATTAATACACTTTCTGTGGGATTATTTTGGGTCTAGACAGCTGGGAACCAACTAGTGGCTCTCCCCTCCCACAAATTGGGGTCAGTGTGGTGGACTAAAATCCATGTAAAATGTGAGAAAGCTTGAAAAGGAATTCTATACACAATAATACAGAGTTTAACACAGCTTCTTGTTGTTCGCTGGCAGTGTATTGCAGCTCCCTTATGAGAAGATTTTCTGATTCAGTTGTGACCATTTTGAAATGCCAGTTTTCTGGTCTTCCTGGCAGTGTTATGGACTTTGGGAGACAGATATTTGGATAGGGTTTGTGATCGTACTGCTGCAACTTGCTTAATGGCAGCATGGACTGACTGTGTGCCTGAGAATGGGCCTGTGGGCATGGCTCTCTGAGGCAGCAAACAGCTCTGCCATGCTGGACTGTACCAAGCAAGCAGTTACTTTTATATATATCACAGTAATTGTGAGGCTTGAGTTTTAGACAGGACAGGCAAGCAGATAGTACCATATATACCACAGTAATGGCACAGTTTAAGTTTAAGAAGCACTGAGCAACTTAAGAAGCACTCCTGAACAGTAAAAAATTATAGATACAAAATAGGACAGATTCAGAAATAAAAGATGTCTAAATGGGTCACAGTGTTGGATAAATGCACATAGCCTAGGGGGAGAGAAAGAAAGGTGTACATAGAGTTGTAAATAAGGAAATCCTATAAAAAACAAATCTTTAAAGAGACAGAATAGACAGTCATAGAATAAAAGGAGTAAGGAAATATAAGCCACGTAAAGATAATAGAAAATTATTGTGTTTTCTTTGAGTTTTTTGACTGCAAAGGAGCTAAGTACAGAGATATTTCATTGTATGGGCTGCTAAGCTAAATCAGCATGTATGTTGTAAAGGTATCACAATTTGCAAATTTGGTTTTAAGGATGTGTTGCCTTAGAAAAGAAGTTGTTCTCTTGTTTCTACAAAGGTTGGGAACCTATGGATTGCTTCCAGATTGGTGTTGTTGTTGAATAAAGACCCCCTGAAAGGTTGCCTTGAACACCGCTCAAAAATTACTTGGTCCAACAGAATAACGTTACTGGCAAACTGACAATATAGGCAGAAGTATCTTTAAGATTTCCTGCTTCATGAGAAAGTGTGCTGGGTACTATGGGCCTGTAGGCCAAAGATGCCCCAACAATACAGAACCTTGGGTGACTATCAGGCAGCAAGATGTCCCTTCAATTCTACAGTTTTAGAAATTACTTACATTGAACTTCCTATTTACTTAGACAATGTCATATCCTTCTGGAGTCTTTGCTGGAGATGAAGAATTTATAATTATAGTTTTCCTTAGTCATGATAAAACATAAAGTAGATATAAAACTTGTAACTATAATTCTTGCTTAAGAACTATTTTATTGAATGTAATTTTACTATGTTAAAGCCTTTCTTTTTCTTTAAACAGAAAAGGGGGAATGGTGGGAGACAGGATCATTTTGTTCTGTCCCGGCCACCCAGCTGGCTTACACTTGAAATAATCACACAGACACTGTATTCATCAAATTACTGCTTGACTCATTAGCTCTAATTTCTTACTGGCTACTTCTTGCATCTTAATTGAACCCATTTCTATTAATATGTGTGTTGCCACGAGACTGTGGCTTACTGGGAGGTTTCTAACCAGCATCCGTCTCAGGCAAGGGATCCATGACATCTGCTACTTTGCCCTTCTTCCCAACATTCAGTTCTGTCTTCTCTGCCTACCTAAGATCTGCCCTATCAGGCCAAGAAGTTTCTTTGTTGATTAACCAATGAAAGCAATACATCAACAGAAGGACCTCTTACACCACTATAATTCATGCTTGATGACTGTATTATTAAATGCAATTTTACTATGTGAAAGCCTTCCTTTTTGTTTAAATAGAAAAGGGAAAATGGTGTTGGAGGTCCTTCTGTCTGTGTGTTGCTTTTATTGGTTAATGAATAAGAAACTGGCTTGACCTATGGCATGGGAGGAAGAAGGTGGAGTCAAAGAAATGCCATGGAGTTGACTCTGGAGAAACATGTGCTGAAACTTTGCCTTTAAGCCACTGCCATGTTGTGATATTCAGATTAACAGAAATGGATTAAATTTAGATGTATGAATTAGCCAATAAAAGGCTAGAGGTAATGTGCCAAGCAGTGATTTAATTGATATAGTGTCCATGTGATTATTTCAGGTCTAGATGGAATGGAACAAATAAATGGCTCTCCCTTTTAATATTTTATTTCACTTTACTTATTGGCTATTAAAATTTTATACTATCCTTTAAAGTCTGAACAATTACTTTACTAAAAGAATTGAAAATAAAAATTGTCCATAGCTGGTGGCTTAGGCCTGTTGGACAAGCTGTTTTGAGGATTAAGTAGAAGGATTACACATTGAAGAAAAGTATAATTTACATAGAAAAGAAATACAAAGCACCACATGAAAATAAAAAGTAATAACAAAAGATAAAAAAAAACCTATGACACTGAATCATACCCTAATTTGTCTCTCTATCTTCCATTATTTTTGCCTTTAGGATAATTCTTGCTCCTTTGGCCTTCAGTGAGAATCATAATTAATGAAAAACAAATACCAACATATATACATTTCAAAAGGTATACTTACAAAGGATTATATATGATGGCCTCCAGTGCATTGAGCAAATCTGCCCTTTTCATTGTTCTGAAATCTAACGAAATGGCTGCTCCTTTGGCTACTATGTAGGCAATGTTATCATGCTGCTCTCCAAACAAAGGAATGCCAATCATAGGGATTCCAAAATGAATCGCCTCGTAGATTCCATTGGCTCCACCATGAGTTACAAAGGCTTTGGTTTTTGGATGACCTAGAATAAGATGAATCCAGATTGAGATTAATTAGCAGTCTTAGACATGAAATGAGAAATGTTCACTATCAGGAACTGAAAGGGGATTTTCTACATGAAAATTAATTTTACTTAATTCAATTTATTAATTTAGTTCACCACACAACTTCTCTTTCCCCTCACTTTTCATCCCAAGAAAAGATATGTGAACCTTGGTACAATATTTTCTTCTCTCAGAGTGAGATGAAACTAAATTTACAGAGAGATATTTTGCAGAATTGCTGTGGACTTGAAAGTTGAACTATGAAATTCTAATTTACAGATGAACACATGGGGTACATGGTAGCTAAGAGAAAATGAGTATTAAAAGTGACCAACTGCATACCAGAACTTGTTATCTTAAATAAATAATACATTCACTAAGTGTAATATAAAGGATTTTGAAGTCAACTAGGCTATGTTTGTTCTGAGAGTCTTACCTAGAAGGTCATTCTGGGGGAGCCATTTGTAAACTCTGGTATTGGGTCCTAAGGTGTCTGGTGTTTTGCCCTCAAATCTCCAAAGAACCTGTTAAAGATTAGATCATGTTTATTGCTGGAGCCAAATTTAGCATTAAACAGACTAAATAAATTTTATTTAGAAATATATATATATATATATGCATATATGTATGTAACAGCATTGATAAAAATGATGCTGTGAATTTGAAAGAGAGCAAGAAGAACAGATATGAGAGGGTTTGGAGGAATAACGAAAAGGGAGAAATGATGCCAAAACAGAAATTGTAAAAATAGATATTTTTAATTTAAGTATAACATACATAAATACCTACCATAAAAATGGATGAGGACATCACAAAGGGTAAATACTGAGAACTCTAGTGAGACTGAGAAGAAGATTGTGCCAGCAGAGTCTGTGCTTATTTTTACATTCAGGCAGGCTGAACATAATCATCCTTTTTCTAAGCAGAGATGCATGGACAATTGAGATAGATAATGATGCATGAAAATATTTAATACACTTCCACAGTGATATAATTCAATCTCAGAAAAGAGTGGCACATTATTAATAACTCATAATTATATGAACATATTTTGACAGTTCTAATAGTCTACTTTTAACAGTGTTATATTTTAAATACTTTTGTGGGTTTACTTTTATTCACTTGTTCTATGTTATTTTCAATGAATTTCAAGCTTTTACGCTTTGATAACTTATTTGTGACAAATATTCCTGATCCACAATTCTCTTTGGTCTGGAGTTCTTTGAAACAATGCCAATGTGTTGACTAATAAAAATGTGGAATCATCTGACTTATCCAAAGAGTAATTTTGCATAATGTAGTTTTGGAACACGATCTAGGAATGGAGTCACATGAGCAGAATTCTGAGTGCTTGACAGAGCACTCTAAGAAAACAAGTCAAGAGTCTTGTGACCTCAATTTCTTCAAAATGCTAAATTGTTTTGGTAAGTGTGTTTTACCCTCCCTCCAGGTATAACAGATAGAGTGGATCTATTTCTGGTTAACCACTACTGCTTGTTATTGTCATCCAGATAAGTTTAAACTGCCCTTTGTGCGTTTCTGTTCTGGATTGATAGAAAATGGCCCCCAAGGGAGTGGCAATGTCAGGAGGTGTGATCTTGCTGGATTAAGGAAGTCACTATGGGGTGGGCTCTGAGATCTCTTTGCTTCAAGTATATATCAGTGTAACTTTTGATCGACTTCACAATCAGAAGTGGTAATGAAAATATTGAGTTATTGAAAATGAAAGGACTAGGAAGAGTTACAAGGAATTATGCAACCTATATTCCCATGTGGACAAGAATATAAACATGACTTGGATTTTCATAAGAGTCAAAATTAAGTAAAATCTAGTGACCCTGTCTGGTTTGTTTCTAAAGAAAAGATATGGGCTCTTCACATGGCCATCAGAGAACAGTGGAGAACAGGCACATAGAGACCTCTTTTTCTCCCTGAAATTCTCCTGGTTTTATAATTAAAAAATAATCTGGCAAATGAAGATGATTGAATGACTTCTGAAATGTTAAAGCCACCGTGTGGCCAATGGGATCTTTACAGTCTGGTTCATCTAGAGACAGTTATTGTTAAAGATTGGCCTTTAATAGTTTTGCATTTAAAAGATAGCTTTTATAATATATATATTCATTCTGATAATAAGGTACTGTTTGGTTTTTTCTGCCTTCATTTAATCATAAGAAGCTTAACTCTGATATCTGTAATCTATTACTTTCAAGGCAAGACGTAATTCTCTATTATGTGTCTATTCTATGCAGGAAAGGTTTTAGAGCCTGTGAGGGAGGCGGTTCTTCAGCCTTGTCTTTGATAAATACAAACTGGGGACTTCCTTTTCCCTGCAAAATGTAACATGTTCAGGTCCAGCACCATGTTTGCCTGCATGGTACCATACTTTCCTTCATGATGATAATGCTTAAATGAACTACAACATATAAGTGTATTTTTTATTACAAATGCCACGATCATGTTGTCTCTTCATAACAATGAAAACCTAAGCAAGACTCTATGGAAAAACTTTTTTTTTATGTCACACATGGCTTGTCATACTGATCGTATACAACTTCAACTCATGTGATTTTTGGTCATATGACCTTTCTAAACCCTCAGATTGTACATTGTCTGATTCTCTGATTAGAGTTAACTATTTCTTATGATTATAAACCCGTTTCCAGGAGAAAGTGCTTTAGATGAAGAAATAACTGGCAGAGTTGAATGAATTTTGGAAAGGCATATAAATAAGGGGAAGAGATCCCCATTCAATTTGAGTCACTTAGGCATTGATTTGAACTATTATAAAATACTAAATGAAGATAAGGAGGTTATTAATCATGAGGAAGAAATGACTAATTCCTTGCATAAATATAAACTGACTGATAACATCTTAAAAGTAGGAATGAAGGAAAATTGAGGAAAATTTCCCAATGTAGGTAATATCAAAGTAAATACAGCAACACTGTCAACTGTGTGGGTGATGGCTCCCTCAGCTCACTTTTTGGAGTCTCCTTTAAAAACGTTTCCTGTATTGCCTAAAAGCACTTCTGAAGCATGGGGAAAGGAATCTGATAATCAACCTAATCTTGCATTCTTTCTACTTTTTGAGGAGGATTTCTGAGAGTTTATGAAAAATCTAAGTTTATAACCTAGACAAGCTAGGGCACGACAGGAAAAGGAATTAATTTCCCAGTTCCTCGCTGGCCTCATGAGCTCAGCTTTGTGTTTCAGTGAAATTTCAACAAAATAAAAGTTTTCAGCATGGGGTGGACATGGATAAAATAAAAGATGTTAAGAAGGCTTGTGCTTTCTGTGGATCTACTGTTCCATGTCGTTTTGAATCTTTTGGTTAAAACTATAATGCACAACGGTTTCTGTATGACTTCCATATATTTGCCAAAATGGTTCTTAGCCCTTTCAGACTTCTCCAGTGCCAAGTGTGGTTTGTAGAGAAAGCCAATAAAAAGATCTAGCACTAGGACTGGGGTAATCTTAAATGTCACATATGAAATCTGACAGAGATTGGTAGGTTGGTATCAATAGATAATCAGATACTTAATACGCTTTTGACAGTTTCTCCCACATCAGAGATGTAGCTATGGCTTCCTGGATTAAGCTGATATGAAATCTGACTTCAGGCCTAGGGATGCAGTAAAAATACAAAGTCCCTCTCTGCCCTATGGCTGATTTCATAGAGAAACTCAAAGATGCAACTGAAAATTTAGCAAAAGGGGAACAAATTCGAGTGCTATTATTACAACACTTAGCTTTTGATAATGTTGAAAAGATTGCCAAGGATTAATCATGCCTCAAACAGAGATAGAAAATGTTCTGGATTTTTTGAAGTTAATTTACTTTAGAGTGTTGGGATCTACAAACAGAGAGCAAAATTAGCTGGTATAAAAATCTATGCATTACAAAAATAGATGTCAGGAAAGTGACCACTTGAAGATGGGATGTAAATTGCTCCTACAATTGTATGTTCAGATTCAATGAGTTCCAGGCTTTACCCTATATGCAAGGAAGGAAAACATTGGGTTAAGAAATGTTGAAACAATTCTGATAAGGATGGGAATACATTGCCTGGAAACAAAAACAATGCCAGCTAACTGTAGGAAAATCTGTTTACAGGTCCCCTGGGGAATCCACAAAATTAGAGGCTTTTAAGGCAAAAATAACTACATTGATGCCAGACTTCAGATTATAATCAAACTAGTCTTTTGTTTCAAGATATCATTCAAGGAACGGTTGCTATTGTTAGTCCTTGCCTTTAAGTATTGCCGTTTCCTTTCTTCAATGTCCTTTAAGGTTACACACAGAATATTGGCGACTTATACTGCTTCAAAGAGTTGGACTTTTATTGTGTTTAAGTAATTTATCCTTGAATGCAATCATAGTGATGCAGTGATGAAGATTTAACAGGGGAAACTGCAGTCGAGGATAGAGTGCCTACTAATTGGTCGTTTAACCAGAAGAAAAACTGCAGTTATTACTAATGTCTATATAGCCTTTCACAAAGAAACATGCTTTGTGAGCAAGGACTCAATACAAGTAAGACTATGTAGATTTAAGAACCTTACTAAAGGAAAATGATAAACCATCATTGGACTTAAAAGTAAATGGAAAAATGTTTACAGTATTATTTTGTTATGATGAGACTGATGTTTCTATTATAACCGTAGAATAATGGATACTTGGATAGCTTGTTATGGGGGGATAAATTCAACCCTAATAAAGTTGGGAACTATGAGTTCTAAAAGATTAAACAGGATGCTACAATATTACAAGACATAAAGAAAGTCTTCCAGCCTTGTGTTACTCATATTCTGATTAATTTTGGTAAAGAGGCTTTCTACAAGAGACTCATGCAGAGATCTGTATTCCCACATCTAATGATATCCGTTCTCCACAATCAAAATTCTAATGAACGTTTGGGTTGTCAGAAATGAAAAACACTAGGAAAACAGAAGCAAGAGATTATGGGGCCTATATTTCCACATGTTTGGGTACATAAGTATGACTTAATAATTCATAGGAGTCATGAATTATAAAAATACATATTGACCCTGTCTAGACATCTCGATGTCCTGTTTCTAAGAAAAAGATATGGGATCTTCACAAGGTCATCAGAGAACAGTGAAAAACGGCACACAGAGTCCCCCTTCTCTCTGGAATTCTGGTTTTGTAATTAAAAAATAATCTGGTAAATGTCGATGGTTGATGGATTTATAAAATTTTAATGCCACATGTGGCCAATGGAAGCTTTACAGGCTGGTTTACCTAAAGACAACTATTGTCGGCATGTAATAGTTTTGCAATTGTAAAAAATAGGTTTTACTAAACATATTCATCCCCAAATTAAGATGCATTTTAGATTTTCTGTTTCTTCATTCAACCATAAAGGATCTCATTTTGATATTAATGGATTGACAAAATCCCCTATTATGTGTTAATACTACGCAGCAAATAATTTAGAGCCTGTGAGGGAGGACTTCCCTTGGATGGGATTAGATTTGTTAGGTTCAAACTTTGTACAAATTGCTAAGGTGCTTATTTAATATGCAAAGTTGACCTGGCTGCCTGGTTTTCCCTTCATCCTTCAATCCCTACCTGAGATACCCTCCTGACTAACATACCCTGAGTAGTAATGGAAGAATTATAATTATTTGACTTTAAATTACAAGAGGCATTTGTATATGGTGTAGTGTCATAGACACAAGCTCCCTACTTCTTCCTTGTGTGTTGGGACTTTCACTCTGACTGGTTAAGAACAGAGTGGTGAGTTTCATCTTTTACGATGCAGACTTCACTGTGAGGGAAGCAACTGTATCTACTTTTTCTTTGGATATTTCTCCTACAAATACTGGCAGACAAACCAAAAAGTAGATTTTTTTCTTTTATTGCATTTTCTGTCAATTAGCCAAAAATGTACTTTGATTGACAGTTGGTGAGACTGGACAACTCTCCTTTAAATGTCCCTCTCAACTGTACACTGAATAGGCCTATTCCAAAATTAGGATGCAGAGTCATGCTGCATTTCAAACTTTTTCAACACCTGCTTATTGTTATTCTGATAGAAGTACTAAATACAAAATAACTCACCCTGAAAATCTAATGTATGCAGTGACTTTAAGTAATCAACAAATAGAACAAATGACTCTGAAGAATTTGACTATGTCTACATACTCTTGATAGCAATGTCATCATCATGCCAGGCTTTCAGAATGTTCTCACTTTGATCACTGTGTTTATATGAAAGTCACTCTCAGTCAAAATTCCTTCTGAATATTTAAACATCTGTTGTGGATATCTGTTTGGCTAAGGGAAATTAGAGCTTCCTTAAAACTTTACCTTTCACACAATCATTTCTATAATCAGACCTTTCAAGGACGTTCACAGGCTTAGTATAGAGTCACCTCCCATGGAATGCTTTCCCTCACCTTTTGTGGAATCTGGGCAAGGGCCCATGCGATTGCATTGGCTTTGTCTTCTGACATGTTGCTGACCATTGACCCCAGAGAAAACACCACGACACCATGCTCTCCAGAGGACTGGACAAAGTCTTCCATTTCCTGTGAAAAGAATTTGTTTCATGACAAAATACAGTTGTAGAATAATCACTTATGAAACATTTATGAAGGGACTAAGAGAATAAAAATTGAAGTGTTTATGGAATATTTCGTATAGTGGTGATAAAACATATGAAAGCCAACAGGATAATATCAAAGATTTTGAACTCCGCAGTCATCCATACAAACTATACTTACACATTGTCCAAGTGATATTCTAAATATTTTCCTCTGGCAAAATTAAATCTGAGGAGTGTAAGCATATTCTATAGGCATTCAAAAATTGTCGCTTTATTTACAAAGTTTCTGCTTACAGAAATGATTGCTATTTTTTCCCTTGCTATTTTCTTTTTCTCCTATAATGGCTGATTTAATACTATTAACTAGTATTTGATAAATAATATTCATGTTATAATATGTGCACGGCGGTTATTTTCACAAACTTCCTACTATGATTAATGAAATGTTTTGAATATTTGTGAAACAAGAATAACTGCATGATAAACATATAGTATGTAATAATTTTCTGATACTTTGTATAAATAGGGTATTTTCAAGGCTAATATCCAAAATTTACTGGTTAGAGAAAAGAATGTCTGATCTGTTTGTTCAGATATCAAACAATTCCTTAGGATATATGTTAATCATAAATTTTGGTGATGAACAGTTTTTGATTGAAGAGTTTAACTGACTTAACTTCTCTGTCTCTCGGCATGTGTTTATATGTGTGTGGGCTTGTTTGCGCATGTGTGTTTGTGTATACGTGTGTGGACATGTGTGTGTGCTTGTGTATGTGTTTGTGCATATGTGTCTGTGTGCTTATGTGTCTCTGCCCCTGTGTGTGCTTATATGTGTGGGTATGTATGTGTGTGTGTTAGAGTTGCTGGGGAGATTCCTTGGCTTTGTTTAACACATAGATGCCAAAAGATAAAATCTGATGTTTTCCTCTACTAATCTTCAACATAGGTTTTGAGACTGTCTCACAATGAAAACAAATCCTACCATTTTTTAACAGACTAGTGGCCAGCAAGCTCCCAGTATCAACCTGTTTCTGCAACTTCAGTGCTAATGTTATTGCACTGTGCTGGGACACCCAACCTTTTACCTGGGTGTTGTGATTCAAACACATCCTCATAATTGCTTGGAAAGGACTTTACCCAATTGCTAACCACCTAAGTACCCTAACTGACCAAATTTACTTCACCTAGAGGAATATTTCCCAGGTCCATCACATTCTTTCCTGAGTTTATTGACCTCCTACTTAGTAGGAGGCTGAAGTCAACTTCCTATATATCTCCATCCCTGGGATAAAAATCTAATGAAAGCTGTAGAATCATGTTTACCAGAAAGGAAACCAAATAAGAAAGAGATATAAAGAATGTATTTACCTTTGGCAAAGGTTTTGCAGGTTTGCAGTGGAGACCTCCAACATAGTCAACGTTTGGTAAGGTTGGACGAGGAAACTCCAAATCCCAGTAGGTTCTAATGAGCCACATTTCTGCTTTGCCTGTTGTCTCAGTTAAGGTAGTGGGTCTTCCTAGAAGGAGAAATGAACAAGTGAGAAGGAGAAAAGTTGACAGGATTGTCATTTGAATACAAAATATATTTCCTTAAATGATGGAAGAAAATATGCTTGATATGGAACATGTGCATTTAAAAACCAGTGTTCATTGATATGCAACATAATTTTCAGTGTAATGATTTGTTGCTCACATACTATGCATAAATGTCAGTTTAGGCTTTTTTTAAAAGCAAACTGTAAAAATTAACTAATGTTTCTACATTAACTTGAAATAGTTATTGTAATACCCCCTAAGCCACTATGTAGATAGCACACATTTTACTCCTCTCTCCATCTTTAAAAGGAACAATGCAAATATAAACACACATTCCAGGTCCAAAAGTCCATGACCAGACTTCCGCAGAGTTCTGGTAATATGTAGCCATTCCTTCTTCTTGTTTTGTTAAAGGAGCTTTAACGTTTATGAATTGCTGAATTTCTTGGTTAGTGCTTCTATCTTTGTTCAATATTAAGAAATTTAATGGTGCTTATCTTACAAAAACAATCACAATATTTTCAAAAATTATGTGAATAAAAATTTTGGCCAGTCTAAGCAATGAAATATTTTTTAAGAGGAAAAAAGAAAACAGGACTTCAAAAAATGCAGACCTTGTATGTGTGTATTCATGCTTCCATAGTGTTTAAAAAAAATGGATGTTAGGAGAGTGCACAATAAAAAAGTATGGTGTTGGTAGAAACCCCAGTTCAACTTTTAAGAGTGTGAACTATCATAGTATCTTTAAGAGTAAAGGAAAACTTTAGAAAATACAGGGGAAATATTTTATAATTTATATTTTTAATTTATGTATACGTGCATCTGCGTGAATATATACTAAGTTTATTAAGGAATCGGCAGATACCATAAAGGGGCAGCAGTTCCCCTGAAGTGAAACTTACAGGCAATTTTATGACACTGGACCTGGGTAGGTGCTAGGAACAGAACTCAGGTAGTAAAAATAAACAGAAAAAAACTCTTTACCTTTGGTTATATTTTCAGACCCCAAGTTTAGTTTTAAATAGAGTTGCCTATGCAATAGAAAATAATTTCTTCAATATTATATACATATTGAAAGTGTAAAATATTTCATTTCTTAATATACATTAGTTATGATTTGGTTAACTAGATAGTGACTTATTAAAATAGTCAAATTTAATTAAACTAAAAATTAATTAATTAAATTAAAAAAATTAAATTAATTAAAAATTAATAGTAAAATTTAATTAAAAATTAAAGCAAAATGAGTAAAGGACCACTTAAGAAATGTCTACTTGCTTCTCTTTGTAACTCTATATTTCAGTAGAATGTCCTGTATCAGGTCTGATAACCTGCTTCTTTTTGATCAATACTATGAACCTTTACAGTGAGTTTGGTAGCTAACATCCTATCACATTTGATCACCTATAAAAGGTCACTTCATTTTGCACTTCATGGACATGACTATAGATTTAAATTCTTGGGAAATTTAGGTCATTGAGCTACTGAGGAGAAATATAACTTACCCAATGTTTCACTGTAAAACTGACTCCATTTCTTCTCGTTAAATGTCTGGAACCAAAAATCAAAATACAGCATACACATCATATTTTTTACCCTCTCCATGAATGTCATTTGACCACCCAGTCCTGACAAAATTATAGGTACGTAAGAGGGAGGGACTTGAAATCTTCCACTATACTTTTCCATTGTATAGCCAGGAATGAAGCGAAGACTGTAGAGAAAAGGGATCTGGAGAAGCTCAGCTATCAGCTCCCCACAGGGAGCAAAGGGATCTGAGAAAAGGACATCAAACTTGGATCTCTGTAGTTTTGTCATAAGTTGTTTGTTTGAAACTGTGTCTTTGCAAAGCCTTAGATAGCTATTAGAATATTCCTCAAACAGGCTTTGTAGCAAAGGAGAGAAGGATAAACACAAATCTCTTGGTACCTCATTAGTCCATGTACCCACAAGCTTTGTGTAAACCTTTTCCAGATCATCTTTACTGATAGACGTAGGAACACTCTCAAATTTCAGACCAGGAGACTTCTGGGGATCAAGGAAGATAGAAGCTGAAGGTCTCAGAACTGTCACTTCATGTCCCCTCTGTACAAGTTCTTCCAGTATTATCTTTAGATTCATCCAGTGGCTGTATTCCATTGGCCATACCAATACCTTCCCACAGTTCCCGGATCTTAAGTAACAACCCATTTGCAGAAGCAGCAGAACAGACATCCACTTTACAGTCATGCTGAGACACCAAAGCCTTCTGTTCACTGTGTGATCCCTTTGTCGTCGCTTAGATCCTTATATCTAAGAAGAAAAAGCCTTGAGTTAAAATATAACTGGAGTTGATCAAGGCAAAGGCACTAAATGACCACATTAAACTTCTGATCTAATGGAGATAGTAAAAGCAAATATTAAATATTCATATTTGCATGTCAATATTTAATGACAAATGTTTGTAATGAAGCAAATTCAGGAGTCAATGACCTGTTTGCATAACTGTTGTTTCTAAGATGTTTGAATAGCAGCAAGAACATTGGTTAGCGAGAGGTTAGTCAGAAACTTCTCAACACAGAACCCAAGATGGATTAATTGCACCGCTTATAAGTAGTTTAGCAATATCATCTTAAAGAAATTTTAATAAGAATTTGATGAACGTATTCACATATGTATAATTTCTTAAATAGCTTGGTAATGCACCTAACAAACTCTATTAACTGAAGCCCTTGGAGAAGATAGACAAGAGCCTGTTCCTACACATGTCCTGGGGTAACAGAAGACTAGCAATTGAGTTGTTTGACTCACAGTTGATAGACTAACCTGAGTGATATTATCTGCTAAAGCAGTCAGTTGGTTCATCTTACCAGTTGGTTTTTCATAAGCCCAAGAAGTAGTTGAATAGCTGGTTATCAGAATCTAGTCCACAAAGGCTCTAAAAGGTAGATGAGTACATGTATTTACATTCCTTCTTCTCAAGGAAACACTATGACCACCATTCCTGAGGTCATCATTTTTTGTAAGATTGCACATGCAGAATCTTGAAACTGACATGTGACTTTAGTTTTTGGATGACCTAGGATCAGAAGAACAACAGAAAATATACTATTCAGAATTCTTATATATGAGTAAAAATCTGTAATCAAGTGATCAAATCGTCAGGGTATTTTTAACATTGAAAATGATATTGAATTATATAAATTGTTTTAAAGACTCACAGAAAGAATAATCCTAGTTAAAAGTAGTGTAACTGAGAGAGCTGCACCTTTTGTTTTCATTTAAAGGTGATGCTAGGGTCTACAGGAGAGTTAGTTGAGTGATGAATGAGTGAAAGATGTAGCACGTGGTGTCACTGGAACAATGATAAGAGGTTTTCAATTGAATACATAGAGAGCATTGTGGATGAAAGAAATTGAATATTTAAGAATATCATGTGTTTGTTTTAACTTATCAACTTAAAAGAGTTCACATGTTAGTTCCATCCATTTCTTTCTTACTTCTTTTTTCCATTACCATCTTCCCAAAATAACAAATAGAACCAAAGTCACTTGAGGAATAAGTAGGGAAACACTGTCCTATAGGCTTGCTTAAGAGTAGATGCATACTCATGTGTACTCATGTGTCTATCGGGTTGGAAGAGATTTTGTCAAATGTAGTGATGTTGTTAGCGTCAGGAATCATAGACTGTTATCAAAATATCCAGGGCAAGGAATGAAAAACTTCATTTTCATTTGTTGGACTGATGGGGACGGGGTGCCATTGACTCTTCCCAAAAATATAGATTCTAGTCATTGTCCTTGATTGCAGGCAGAGACAGGCAGATCTATGTGAGTTTGGGGCCACCCTGGTCTACAAGAGCTACTTCCAGGACTGGCTCCAAAGCTACAGAGAAACCCAGTAGTGAAAAAACGACAACAGTGTACTGCATTGTTGTATGATAAACAGTGTCAACTTTTTGTGATTGGCAATATGTCATTGATCATTAGTGTTTCTTTGTGGTTTCTGAAATATTCCTACTTTAGAAAGGGAACAGGTATAAAATTGAATCTGTTAAAGCTAAGGAAAGAACACAGTGCTCCCTATAATAGGCAGATACTTTTACAATGCACAATTTGTTCCTGGAATACAAAAATACAATACCAGCTCACTTTTCATTCTCTCAAGGAAAAAAATATTTAAAAATTGGTTCTATTTTTGACTATTCTAAAACAAATCAGATTGCTTCCTATCACTCTTTAACTTGTTACTCATGCTTCAGTTTCCCAGAGTCTTACCCAGAAGGTCCTTCTGCAGGACCCACTGGAAAATCCTGGTATTGGGACCTCATGTATCTGCTTTCATATCCTTAAATCTCCAAAACACCTGTTAGAAGTTAGACAATAATTTTATCAGATTTCAAAACTTAAAATATAGTATTATAGGAATTAGGCAATGCATAGCTAAATGCCATTTGAATTTTCGGTGTGCAAAGCAGGTAGGAAGACATTAAACAGGAAAAGATAACAAATTATAAGGCAGAGTATGGCAACACCGTCTATGTTTTTCTTTACATTTAATCAGGTCGAATGTCATCATGATTTTTTATGTTCAGTTATGTGCACACATGAGAGAGTCAATGGAACAAGAATATATTTTTTAAAGTTTATATGTTCATACATCATCTGTAAGAAAGAATGATTAAACTTTATGTGTATGTACTAAACTTCTTCTAATTTTCCCTTATTAATTTCTTGTCAGTTTAAAAAAAAGCACAGATCTTACTTATATTCATTCGTTCTATTATTTTAATAGGCCTTGACACTGGTTTTTGTTATTCATTACTTATTTTTGGCAAACATTCAATATTAACAATTTTTCTCCATTTACAAGTTCTTCGGAAAAGGTGTCACCATGAATAATCTGAAAATGGAGTTTCTGTCTAACCTATCCCGGTCATAACCTCACAGAGTGTATGTGTTTGTGTTGTGCACTAACTACGAGTGAAATAGTTGCTGGCATAAAATTCCCCATACTTGCTTGTGCCCTTCTGCATATTGAGGAGATTCTGTCTTCAGCACAAAAATAACCTCAAAGAGCAACTGACATAATTTCTTTTAACATATAAAAAATAAGAATACTATTACTCATCGTTGGTTGAGGCACCGGTTTTACTTAGAAAGCACAGGAAGTGCAGAGCACTTCATCATGTTCACAAGTCATAGCACTGTTGCTGAGACTGGATATTCCTTTCATGTGGGAAAGGAACCTGCTGTGCTGGTCATAAGTGCTAGAAGCTGTAGAAAGCATTCAGAATCCTAATGGTGCTGCATCTGACCCATATGATAGATGGCAAAACACTTCAGGGTTAATGTACTTTGTGAAATGCCAAGCAGTTCCACAGCCAGATCACACAAATGGTGCTCATTTTAGAAATCCCAAATCCCATTTACCCTTGTAAATGTGAGCTTCACCGACATGTTCAATATCTGTTTACCACAATAAATTTAAACATTTCTTCAGGATCTCAGGGAAAACCAGCATGAGTTATTACAGCGAGACTAAAACTAAAATCTACAGGAAACTAAAATCTAGCTCCTATGTACTCCAAATTAAAGTTCAGTTGTGGTAAATTATCTTCATATACCCTATGAAGAGTCAGCTGAACCTTTTCTGGCATCACTCCTATTTCTACTTCATTATCTCTTAGCTCCCACTTCTTCCTAAATGAAACACACTTTACTCTTCTGGGTTAGAGACAAAGTGCCATAAACCATGCTTGGCTGTGTCTGGTTCACCATAATGACAGGGAACATTCCACCTTCTCCTTTACATTATCCTGTTTGAGGTTTGGTGGATTCTAGAATGACCTATTCTTCCTTTTTGTTTTTTCTCAATGAACAGGGTAGAAAGGGACTGAGATGGTGAACTGTTTTTTTTTTTTTTCCGTTTACTGAGAAGTGTTCTGAGTGGTAACTAAACAATCCTAGTTCAGCATTCTCATAAAGAGGAGAGGGAAACCTGGGAAGACTCTACGCTACTGCAGTTCTGGAAGACTATTAATGCTATTTTACAGATAATTTTCTATTATCTGCTAACAAAGTTTTTAATATAAACTTTCATTTTCCCTGAAGGTCTAGATTCAAACAAAGCTCAAGAGAAAGGTTTAAGTGACCTCTGAGAATTAAGTTATTCTTGTGTAGTTTTGCTGCCAGTATCATCAGAATTGAAAAGTTTAGTTTGCACTCACTCACCATGCTTCCCTGTGATCACAATGTTTATGTCACTGTTATTGTCATCAGAAACACATTTGGTAGAATCTGCCATCTTTATCTTTGTTTCTTCACCTGACTAAGGACAATCATAATATTTGATTTTACATAAAGGGACCTTCCAGTGTCATCCCTTTCCTGACTTCAGTAAACTAAAGAGATAATTGCCTTCCATGGAGACCTCATTTTACCTTTTGTGGAATTTGTGCAAGGGCTGATGCAATAGTTTTGGCACTTTTTGTGTTGTGTTATTGATCATTGACCCAAGAGAAAACACCACGACACCATGTTCCCCAGAGATCTGTTCAAACTCTTCCATTTCCTGTGGATACAGAAATTGTTTTATAATTGAAGATCAATAGCACATAAAATGCTGCTCAAATCACTACTAATCATGGAGAAAAATGAAGCTTTATTGGAAGGACAACACCACTGATCAAGCACAGATGATAATCATTGCTGTCATAATCTCCCAGTACTCAATGGGTATCAGCACTGTGTATATGCACATCTTTGAGCAATAAATATTCCAAATACTATCTTTTGAAAAATTTTTAGTTGTATTATCTTCTACCTCAGGCTCCTGGTGTGGCCCAGCAATCCCATAAACTTTCAGTTTGGAATTCTATCTATTATATTACATTTGTGAAGGAAACTTCCGGGACTCAACATGGTGAGCCCGTGCTATATAACCTCTGTAAAATGACAATTCTCACATATCCAGAACTGGTTATGCCTTGCTAAGACAGGTAGTGTTAGAAAGTTGAATAGTAGCTTGTGATAGAAGTGCACAACCCATTCAGCCTAGGACAGAGAAACATTCACCACTATCAGTACTTACTACAGCTGAAGATGCTGTACAGACCCTTCTTAAACACTCCCTTAGAATGATGGTCATACAGTTACCTAAAGACAGTAAAAGGCAATATTGAGAAGTCTCTATTATTTAAATATAAGATCCACTCATTAATTATATGTGTCATCATTAGGTTAGTGCCTGACAAAAAAGGAAGTTATAGGAGGAATGGTTTTGGTTGGAGCATATTTTGAG